TAGATTTTTATTATTTGCACACAATTGACATTATCCACTTATTTAGTTCGTAGAACTTTTTTATCGAATTCGAATACATTACTAGAATAAATATGGCACTAATAATTTTGACGCGTATAAACGAAAACAAAATTTAGATTTTTATTATTTGCACACAATTGACATTATCCACTTATTTAGTTCGTAGAACTTTTTTATCGAATTCGAATACATTACTAGAATAAATATGGCACTAATAATTTTGCCGCGTATAAACGAAAACAAAATTTAGATTTTTATTATTTGCACACAATTGACATTATCACTTATTTAGTTCGTAGAACTTTTTTATCGAATTCGAATACATTACTAGAATAAATATGGCACTAATAATTTTGACGCGTATAAACGAAAACAAAATTTAGATTTTTATTATTTGCACACAATTGACATTATCCACTTATTTAGTTCGTAGAACTTTTTTATCGAATTCGAATACATTACTAGAATAAATATGGCACTAATAATTTTGCCACGTATAAACGAAAACAAAATTTAGATTTTTATTATTTGCACACAATTGACATTATCCACTTATTTAGTTCGTAGAACTTTTATATCGAATTCGAATACATTACTAGAATAAATATGGCACTAATAATTTTGACGCGTCTAAACAAAAACAAAATTTAGATTTTTATTATTTGCACACAAATGACATTATCCACTTATTTAGTTCGTAGAACTTTTATATCGAATTCGAATACATTACTAGATTCGAATACAGATTCGAATACGATTACTAGATTCGAATACGAATTCGAATACATTAGATTTTTTTTCAGTATGGTAAAAAAATTTTTTTTTCGAAATAATCGGAAATTTTTTATAATTTCTTCAAAAAGTTTTTTTTCAAAATAGTAAAAAAATTTTTTTAGTAATTGAAAAATTGTTGGTTTAAAATTTAAAAAATATTATTTTAATTAAAGAAAAAATATTTTTAAAATTAAAAAAAGAATAGGTGGTGGTATTAGAAAAAAATAATTTTATTAAAAAGGATTTTTTTAATTAAGTGAAAAATTTTTTTTAATAATTGAAAAATTGTTGGTTTAAAATTAAAAAAATAAGATTTTAATAAAGAAAAAAATTTTTTTTAATTAAAAAAAAGAATAGGTGGTGGTATTAGAAAAAAATAATTTTATTATATTAAAAAGGATTTTTTTAAATTAAGTGAAAATTTTTTTTTAATAATTGAAAAATTGTTGGTTTAAATTTAAAAAAATATTAATTTAATTAAAGAAAAAATATTTTTAAAATTAAAAAAAAAGAATTGTTGGTGGTGTTAGAAAAGAAATTATTTTATTAATTAGGATTTTTTAATAATTAAGAGAAAAAATAATTAAAAAAATAAATTCAAAAAAAAAAGAATTAATTTCAAAAAATTCTTTAAAATTCACTCTCCTCATGTTCTTCTTCTTTGACGTTTTTATAGTGATACCCACATTTTGTAATATCAAAAGAAGGTAGGTTAACTTTGTATCGTATATCATTTACATCTCAAATTTAGAAAAAAATTTTATATAGAAAAAAATTTTTTATAGAAATAATATTTAATCAAATTTTTAATTAAAAAAATTTTATGTATAAATAAATTTTATAATAAAAAAATTATAAATAAATTTTTTTTATAAAAATTTTTTTATAAAAATATAAAAATTTTTTATAGAAAATGTTTTTTAAGAAATCTGTATAGAAAAATTTTTTAATTTTCTAAAAATTTTAATTCAAAAAATTTTTAATATTATTAAATTTTTAATATTATATAAATATTATAAAATTCTTAATATTATAAAATTTTTAATATTTGAAAATTTTAAAGTTACTACTTGTATCTAAATTATTGAGTGTAAGTAAAAGGGGCGGGGCACCCAGACAAGCCTAAACCTTTAGGAAAGTGCGGTAAAAAATGGAATAAATACGTATGACTAACTACTTAAATCTATTAAGAATATCATAATGATTACAACATAGATCCAAAAATTCAAATTAATTCAAAAATTCAAATTTAATGTTGCTGTGTTTAATGTTGCTGTGAATTTAATGTTGCTACCACTTTTTGCCTTCTTTCTTGCTTTAATTCTCTTTACATTTATTTTTCTCTTGGTGGCGCATAGCTTGGGGTTGCATTTTGTCCATTTCTCTTTTCGCCACGACTCATATTATATTGGAAAAGTGGTTGTCTGTTGAGTAAAATTAAGTGGCTGTGTGTTTGCGAATTGCAAAATAAAGTGGTTGTTTGCACAGGAAATGGAAAGGAAAAATGTATAGGAAATAAATAATTCTCGACTTAGCAGATATTAAGTCCTTCCGTGTTTCTTGATGCCCTTTTACTTAAATTCTTAGCATCAAATCAACTTGATTATGGTACTTTCTGAAGACTCAAATGTGCTACTTTGATTTTTAACCGTTTTAAATCGATTTCTGTTCATTTAAATTGGCTAGGGATCTATTAATTTTTGAGTGTGGCCGAAGGTTCGAGAGTTCTCGCCGAGATTATAGCGGTTTTTGGTTTAAATCACGAAGGACAAGCATGAATTCATCTGAGAATAAATTCTCTGCTGAAAATAAGAAATTCGCTTTAATCTCGATGAAAAGAGAAAAAAATTTGATAATAATGTAGCCTTTTGGCTGTGTTGGTGAAGTGAAAAGTTGAGATTTTGTGTTGAGACGAAGCGTCCTCGTTGAAGGATATGAATTTTATGCCAATTCATTGCTGAATTGGCAAGATGAGCATTCGGTCAGTTCGAAGCAAACTTTTGAGTGCTCGTTGACATTATCCACTTATTACACAATTGACATTATCCACTTATTTAGTTCGTAGAACTTTTTTATCGAATTCGAATACATTACTAGAATAAATATGGCACTAATAATTTTGACGCGTATAAACGAAAACAAAATTTAGATTTTTATTATTTGCACACAATTGACATTATCCACTTATTTAGTTCGTAGAACTTTTTTATCGAATTCGAATACATTACTAGAATAAATATGGCACTAATAATTTTGCCGCGTATAAACGAAAACAAAATTTAGATTTTTATTATTTGCACACAATTGACATTATCACTTATTTAGTTCGTAGAACTTTTTTATCGAATTCGAATACATTACTAGAATAAATATGGCACTAATAATTTTGACGCGTATAAACGAAAACAAAATTTAGATTTTTATTATTTGCACACAATTGACATTATCCACTTATTTAGTTCGTAGAACTTTTTTATCGAATTCGAATACATTACTAGAATAAATATGGCACTAATAATTTTGCCACGTATAAACGAAAACAAAATTTAGATTTTTATTATTTGCACACAATTGACATTATCCACTTATTTAGTTCGTAGAACTTTTATATCGAATTCGAATACATTACTAGAATAAATATGGCACTAATAATTTTGACGCGTCTAAACAAAAACAAAATTTAGATTTTTATTATTTGCACACAAATGACATTATCCACTTATTTAGTTCGTAGAACTTTTATATCGAATTCGAATACATTACTAGATTCGAATACAGATTCGAATACGATTACTAGATTCGAATACGAATTCGAATACATTAGATTTTTTTTCAGTATGGTAAAAAAATTTTTTTTTCGAAATAATCGGAAATTTTTTATAATTTCTTCAAAAAGTTTTTTTTCAAAATAGTAAAAAAATTTTTTTAGTAATTGAAAAATTGTTGGTTTAAAATTTAAAAAATATTATTTTAATTAAAGAAAAAATATTTTTAAAATTAAAAAAAGAATAGGTGGTGGTATTAGAAAAAAATAATTTTATTAAAAAGGATTTTTTTAATTAAGTGAAAAATTTTTTTTAATAATTGAAAAATTGTTGGTTTAAAATTAAAAAAATAAGATTTTAATAAAGAAAAAAATTTTTTTTAATTAAAAAAAAGAATAGGTGGTGGTATTAGAAAAAAATAATTTTATTATATTAAAAAGGATTTTTTTAAATTAAGTGAAAATTTTTTTTTAATAATTGAAAAATTGTTGGTTTAAATTTAAAAAAATATTAATTTAATTAAAGAAAAAATATTTTTAAAATTAAAAAAAAAGAATTGTTGGTGGTGTTAGAAAAGAAATTATTTTATTAATTAGGATTTTTTAATAATTAAGAGAAAAAATAATTAAAAAAATAAATTCAAAAAAAAAAGAATTAATTTCAAAAAATTCTTTAAAATTCACTCTCCTCATGTTCTTCTTCTTTGACGTTTTTATAGTGATACCCACATTTTGTAATATCAAAAGAAGGTAGGTTAACTTTGTATCGTATATCATTTACATCTCAAATTTAGAAAAAAATTTTATATAGAAAAAAATTTTTTATAGAAATAATATTTAATCAAATTTTTAATTAAAAAAATTTTATGTATAAATAAATTTTATAATAAAAAAATTATAAATAAATTTTTTTTATAAAAATTTTTTTATAAAAATATAAAAATTTTTTATAGAAAATGTTTTTTAAGAAATCTGTATAGAAAAATTTTTTAATTTTCTAAAAATTTTAATTCAAAAAATTTTTAATATTATTAAATTTTTAATATTATATAAATATTATAAAATTCTTAATATTATAAAATTTTTAATATTTGAAAATTTTAAAGTTACTACTTGTATCTAAATTATTGAGTGTAAGTAAAAGGGGCGGGGCACCCAGACAAGCCTAAACCTTTAGGAAAGTGCGGTAAAAAATGGAATAAATACGTATGACTAACTACTTAAATCTATTAAGAATATCATAATGATTACAACATAGATCCAAAAATTCAAATTAATTCAAAAATTCAAATTTAATGTTGCTGTGTTTAATGTTGCTGTGAATTTAATGTTGCTACCACTTTTTGCCTTCTTTCTTGCTTTAATTCTCTTTACATTTATTTTTCTCTTGGTGGCGCATAGCTTGGGGTTGCATTTTGTCCATTTCTCTTTTCGCCACGACTCATATTATATTGGAAAAGTGGTTGTCTGTTGAGTAAAATTAAGTGGCTGTGTGTTTGCGAATTGCAAAATAAAGTGGTTGTTTGCACAGGAAATGGAAAGGAAAAATGTATAGGAAATAAATAATTCTCGACTTAGCAGATATTAAGTCCTTCCGTGTTTCTTGATGCCCTTTTACTTAAATTCTTAGCATCAAATCAACTTGATTATGGTACTTTCTGAAGACTCAAATGTGCTACTTTGATTTTTAACCGTTTTAAATCGATTTCTGTTCATTTAAATTGGCTAGGGATCTATTAATTTTTGAGTGTGGTCTATTAATTTTTGAGTGTGGCCTTACAATGGCCATGATTTACTTGATCTTGATTATCTAAATGGATAACTGTGGAAAAGCTAGAGCTAATACATGCACCAAAGCTTTGTCCTCTCGGAAAAGCGCATTTATTAGAACAAAACCACGCGGCTTCGGCTGCTTCTTGTTGACTCAGAATAACTAAGCTGACCGCATGGCCTTGTGCCGGCGGCGTGTCTTTCAAGCGTCCAATTTATCAACTTGACGGGAGCATAATCGACTCCCGTGGTGGTGACGGATAACGGAGGATCAGGGTTCGACTCCGGAGAAGGGGCCTGAGAAATGGCCACTACGTCTAAGGATGGCAGCAGGCGCGCAAATTACCCACTCTCGGCTCGAGGAGGTAGTGACGAGAAATAACGAGATCGTTCTCTTTGAGGCCGGTCATCGGAATGGGTACAATTTAAACCCTTTAACGAGTATCAAGCAGAGGGCAAGTCTGGTGCCAGCAGCCGCGGTAATTCCAGCTCTGCTAATACATAGAATTATTGCTGCGGTTAAAAAGCTCGTAGTTGGATTCGTATCGGTACCCTGGAACCCTCCGGGTGTTTCTGGGTGTTATCGATTTATCGTAATGTTCGGTTTTGAGTCCTTAACAGGATTCTTAACAGGCATTGCAAGTTTACTTTGAACAAATCAGAGTGCTTCAAACAGGCGTTTTCGCTTGAATGATCGTGCATGGAATAATAGAAAACGATTTCGGTTCAGTTTTATTGGTTTTACGGACTGAGATAATGGTTAACAGAGACAAACGGGGGCATTTGTATGGCCCCGTGAGAGGTGAAATTCTTGGACCGTGGCCAGACAAACTACAGCGAAAGCATTTGCCAAGAATGTCTTCATTAATCAAGAACGAAAGTCAGAGGTTCGAAGGCGATCAGATACCGCCCTAGTTCTGACCGTAAACGATGCCAACTAGCGATCCGCCGATGGAAATTATATTGCCTTGGTGGGGAGCTTCCCGGAAACGAAAGTCTTCCGGTTCCGGGGGAAGTATGGTTGCAAAGCTGAAACTTAAAGGAATTGACGGAAGGGCACCACCAGGAGTGGAGCCTGCGGCTTAATTTGACTCAACACGGGGAAACTCACCCGGCCCGGACACTGTGAGGATTGACAGATTGATAGCTTTTTCATGATTCAGTGGATGGTGGTGCATGGCCGTTCTTAGTTCGTGGAGTGATTTGTCTGGTTTATTCCGATAACGAGCGAGACTCTAACCTACTAAATAGCTGGTACATAATCTTAGTGTATACAGCTTCTTAGAGGGATTTGCGGTGTTCAGCCGAAAGAAATTGAGCAATAACAGGTCTGTGATGCCCTTAGATGTCCGGGGCTGCACGCGCGCTACACTGGCAAAATCAACGTGCTTGTCCTACCCCGAAAGGGGCGGGTAAACCATTGAAAATTTGCCGTGATTGGGATCGGAAATTGCAATTATTTTCCGTGAACGAGGAATTCCAAGTAAGTGCGAGTCATCAGCTCGCGTTGATTACGTCCCTGCCCTTTGTACACACCGCCCGTCGCTGCCCGGGACTGAGCCATTTCGAGAAATTTGGGGACCGTTGATTTAATTTTTCTAAATTACTTTGATGGAAACCAATTTAATCGCAGTGGCTTGAACCGGGCAAAAGTCGTAACAAGGTAGCTGTAGGTGAACCTGCTGCTGGATCATTACTTTATGTGATGTTCAAATTTGAATTCGCAATGAAATACTCGTTGTGAAACGGCTGTCGCTGGTGTCTAGGTGTTGCTGATACAGTTGTGAACGTCCGTGGCTGTATATGTGGTGACATGTTAGGACTCTTTAATGAGTTTAAGACTTAATGAGCCTCTTAAGTGAGGACGCCAGCACTCTTTTTTTCTCTATATTTTTTAAAAAACGAAAATTTCTAGCCTTATCGGTGGATCACTCGGCTCGTGGATCGATGAAGAACGCAGCAAACTGCGATAATTTGTGCGAACTGCAGAAACCTTGAGCACAAAAGTTTTGAACGCAAATTGCCGCATTGGGGTCAAACCCTCTGCTACGTCTGGTTCAGGGTCATTTTCTTTTAAAGCGAAAAAGCTTTTATTATATATTGCTTTTTATGCTATATATCATGAAATGATTGTTGTTTTTATCGTAATTGTTTAAATATAATAACAATAA